ATCAATATTGTGAAAATGACTATACTACGCAAAGCAATCTATAGATTCAATGCAATCCCTCTCAAGCTACCAACGGTATTTTTCACAGAACTAGAACAAATAATTTCACAATTTGTATGGAAATACAAAAAAACCTCGAATAACCAAAGCAATCTTGAGAAAGGAGAATGGAACTGGAGGAATCAACCTGCCTGACTTCAGGCTCTACTACAAAGCCACAGCCATCAAGACAGTATGGTACTGGCACAAAGACAGAAATATAGATCAATGGAACAGAATAGAAAGCCCAGAGATAAATCCACGTACCTATGGACATCTTATCTTTGACAAAGGAAGCAAGGATATACAATGGAAAAATGACCACCTCTTTAACAAGTGGTGCTGGGAAACCTGGTCAACCACTTGTAAAAGAATGAAACTAGAACACTTTCTAACACCATACACAAAAATAAACTCAAAATGGATTAAAGATCTAAATATAAGAGCAGAAACTATAAAACTCCTAGAGGAGAAAAAAGGCAAAACACTATTCGACATAAATCACAGCAGGATCCTCTATGACCCACCTCCCAGAATATTGGAAATAAAAGCAAAAGTAAACAAATGGGACCTAATTAAACTTAAAAGCTTTTGCACAACAAAGGAAACTATAAGCAAGGTGAAAAGACAGCCTTCAGAATGGGAGAAAATAATAGCATACGAAGCAACAGACAAAGGATTAATCTCAAAAATATACAAGCAACTCCTCCAGCTCAACTCCAGAAAAATAAATGACCCAATCAAAAAATGGGCCAAAGAACTAAACAGACATTTCTCCAAAGAAGACATACAGATGGCTAACAAACACATGAAAAGATGCTCAACATCACTCATTATCAGAGAAATGCAAATCAAAACCACAATGAGGTACCATTACACACCAGTCAGGATGGCTGCTATCCAAAAGTCTACAAGCAATAAATGCTGGAGAGGGTGTGGAGAAAAGGGAACCCTCTTACACTGTTGGTGGGAATGCAAACTAGTACAGCCGCTATGGAGAACAGTTTGGAGATTCCTCAAAAAACTGGAAATAGAACTGCCATATGACCCAGCAATCCCACTCCTGGGCATAAACACTGAGGAAACCAGATCTGAAAGAGACACATGCACCCCAATGTTCATCGCAGCACTGTTTATAATTGCCAGGACATGGAAGCAAACTAGATGCCCATCAGCAGACAAATGGATAAGGAAGCTATGGTACATATACACTATGGAATATTACTCAGCCATTAGAAAGAATTCAGTTGAATCAGCTCTAATGAGATGGATGAAACTGGAACCCATTATACAGAGTGAAGTAAGCCAGAAAGATAAAGACCATTACAGTATACTAATACATATATATGGAATTTAAAAAGATGGCAATGATAACCCTATATGCAAAACAGAAAAAGAGATATGGATGTACAGAACAGACTTTTGGACTCTGTGGGAGAAGGCGAAGGTGGGATGTTCTGAGAGAATAGCATTGAAACAAGTATACTATCAACGGTGAAACAGATCACCAGCCCAGGTTGGATGCATGAGACAAGTGCTCAGGGCTGGTGCACGGGGAAGACCCAGAGGGATGGGATGGAGAGGGAGGTGGGAGGGGGGATCGGGATGGGGAACACATGTAAATCCATGGCTGATTCATGTCAATGTATGGCAAAAACCACTATAATATTGTAAAGCAATTAGCCTTCAACTAATAAAAACAAATGAAAAAATAAATTGGGAAAGGAGTACATCATGGCTGTATGTTGTCATCCTGCTTATTTAACTTATATGCAGAACACATCATGCAAAATGCCAGGCTGGATGAAGCACAAGCTGGAATCAAAGTTTGGGGGAGAAATATCAGTAACTTCAGATAAGCAGGTGACACCACCCTAATGGCAGAAAGCAAAGAGGAATTAAAAAGCCTCTTGATGATGGTGAAAGAAGTGAGTGAAAAAGCTGGCTTAAAACCCAACATTCAAATAAACGAAGAAGATGGCATCCAATTCCATCACTTCATGGCAAATAGATGGGGAAACAATAGAAACAGTGACAGACTTTGTTTTCTTGGGTTCCAAAATCACTGCAAATGGTGACTGCAGCCATGAAATTAAAAGGAGCTTGCTCCTTAGGAGAAAAGCAATGACAAACCTAGACAGTATATTAAAAAGCAGAGACATGATTTTGCTGACAAAGGTCCATGTAGTCAAAGTTATGGTTTTTCCAGTAGTCATGTAAGGCTGTGAGCTGGACAATAAAAAAGGTTGAGCGCCAGAGAATTGATGCCTTCGAATTGTGGTGTTGGAGAAGTCTCTTGAGAGCCCCTTGGACTTCAAGGAGATCAAACCAATCAATCCTAAAGGAAATCACCCCTGAATATTCATTGGAAGGACTGATGCTGAAGCCGAAGCTCCAGCACTTTGACCACCTGATGTGAAGAGACAACTCATTGGAAAAGACCCTGATGCTGGGAAAGATTGAAGGCAGAAGGAGAAGGGGACGACAGAGGACGAGATGGTTGGATGGCATCACCGACTAGACGGACATGAGTCTGAGCAAACTCCGGGAGATGGTGATGGACAGGGAAGTCTGGCATGCTGCAGTCCATGAGGTCGCAAAGAACCAGACACAACTGAGCGACTGAACAACTCAGGGACTCTCAAACTGTTACACATTGAAATCATCTGGGGAACTTTTAAAACTTCCGACACCTAAATTAATCAATCCAGAATTTTTAAATGTGGGAGCCAAAATGTCAATAGTTTGTGAAGACCCCCAGTCGACTACATTGTGGAGCAAAGTCTGGGAATCATGTCATAGGCAAGATTTTCCTGGTAGCTGCCATAGAAGCTCTGGTCATTTTCTTCTGTGACCACTAGATGTCGCCACAGCCTGGAGACTGGAGGATTTTCCCTAGTACTTTCAGGTTAGGAAGGAAAAAAGAGAATTGTGTGTGTGTGTGTGTGTGTGTGTGTGTGTGTGTGTGTGTGTGTGTGTGTGTGTGTGTGTGTGAGCTTATTTTGATAGAAAAAAATATTTTGAAGGAGAGGCTGAGATCCTGAGTAATAAAGCATATTAAATGTTTGTTGAAAACTAAAGATTAAAAAACAAGAGACAATTCTCCAACAACGTTATCTCCACTGTGTGCTCATGTACCTAGATTCTTTAGTCAAGGAGGGGTGATGTGGGGAACCTGGCATTTTGGCTGTGGAGAGGCGAGAGGAGGGAGATTACATGCAGAAGAGACTACTCAGTCCCTCGCGATGTTTTCAGATCTCTCCCTGCCCTGGTCCCTCTGCAGGACTGCTCTTTCTTCTGTGCCCAGCTGTCATCCTCTGCTCTTTTAGGGTGGTCCTATATTAGCAGTCCTGGAGAAGAAAAGGAAAATGACACTCCTTGCCTGGAAAATCCCATGGACAGAGGCCTGGCGGGCTGCAGTCCATGGGGTCGCAAAGAGTTGGGCACGACTGAGCGACTGACTAACGCTTCCTATGTAAGTCTTCTTTGATATCTCCCTACAAACGCAGATGGCTGTCTTCTCCCCATCGTTTTCCTGTTGGTCTCTCCAAGCTCCTTGTGGTCAAAGCTTTGCCTTGTTCAATCATGTACCCCTGGGGCCCGCCGAGTGGGGTTTCCTAAGCACACAGTAGATTTTTTATAAACATTTGTGAAACATATGAAAGAATGTTTAGGAATGAGGCCTAAAAACTGAGTTAGGTTTGGATGGCAAAAACAGTATATAAGAAAGAGAAATTCATTTTAAACTGTTTCTGATGCAATTGGACCCAATTTAGGGATCTAAAGAGGAAAACTGGTTCGCATGCCAGTTTAAAGACTAGAATTTCATAGCTTCATTAAGACTCAAGGCTGGAGGAGACTTTGAAGTCTTTCGGTTTAGTCCCTGCCATGACGATTTAGGTTCAGGCTCAGCTTTCTATGCCAAGAAGTTGCTGAGGCTGTGATTGGAGTCATCCAATGACAAGTAACCCTGTGCTTCCAAAGAAGAGAATTCCACCAAATGGTGGAGTCAGTTTGAAAGTTATTCCTTATGTTGAGCTTAGATATCCTCCCAGGGGCTGTATCTGTAGGATTTAATTCATTCCTCTATAGCTTCATGTGCTGTGCTGTCATTTTAGTCATATCCAACTCTTGGCGACCTTATGGACTGCAGCCCACCCGGCTCCTCTGTCCATGGGATTTTCCAGGCAAGACTGGAGTGGGTTGTTATGCCCTCCACCAGGGGATCCTCCCAACCCAGGGATCAAACCCAGGTCTCTTATGTCTCCTGCACTGGCAGGTGGGTTCTTTACCACTAGCGTCACCTGGGAAGACTTACAAACACTATAACCTCTGCTCAGAACATCCAGAAGGGTGAGATCACAGTCTCTTATCCAGGCTGTGTCCTCAGTCACTTATAAGAAAATAAAAATATTTTAATATTTAACTTAAAAGTAGTAAATAATAAATTTTCATGTCCCCTCACTGTCTTCTATAAGTGTTTCATAAATGATTCGGTGAAATTTTTAAGGGTTTGTTGAGAAAACAAATCAGTCTTTCCGGATGACCAGTGGAAAATGATTGCTCTCTCCTGATGCTACAATTTGTTAATAAACTCTGGACTAATTAGGAGAGTGCTGAATATCACTGAGGTTTCTATTTCTGCAAAGATTCACTTATAAAAACCCATCTGATCAAGAACTGCATTCTTAGCCCCTTTTCCTAAATCTTACAGTGCAAGCATCAGATGTGTAATTGCTAAGTCATGGATCTGATTAAGAAAATGTGTTCTTGCTTAGAAAACAGAACCAGTACTGGAAAGCAGACAGAAAGGATTCTGTAAAAGTTTTTTTCCGCCATGATCTCTAAGATTCATGAAGGGTTATGAATCAACTCATAAGAATTTTCAGATCAATTAGTTCATGAAGCAGTTCTGTAGGGTGTCTTATTGACTTTCTGAGGGTGAGGGGTCAGAAACTCACCAATTCTCTATAAAGTGGGTCCAAGGTAAACCACAGAGCCACAGCACACCTCTGGCCCTTGGTAACTGCCTTCACCCCATGTGGGTTCTCTCCTCCAGACGAGAAGCTGATCATGCGCCCACACTTTGGTTTTATCGAGGCCTGAGAAAGAAAGTGAAAACATGACTCTCACTTTCTATACTGTGAACATTTCTACAATCCCCCTTCTCTATCCTTCTGCTGAATTACTTGAGTCAAGTTTTAAATCAAAGAACAATGGAATCCTGGGGCTGAAGAAGACGTAGATCATTTCCAATTTCCTCATCTATAAGACAAAGGTAAGGTCAAAATAATACCTAATTCAGGAAATAAAGTTATCAGGTAAATGGCCATCACAGTCCATGGCACATGGTAACTGCTCAGTACATGCTGTGTTGGTAGCTGGCAAACCCCTTGACAGCAAAGGCTCTCTCTTTTAATTCATTTCTCTAATTTTAATACCAGCACAGCCTAAGTAAATACACATTTAATATTTGTGGAATGACAAAAACAAATCGAGGGGAAATCTGGAGTGCTGGTAATTATAATTGATCGAGGTAGTGGTGTGTATGCTTAGTTGCGTTCGACTCTTTGCGACCCCATGGACTGTAGCCCACCAGGCTCCTCTCTCCAAAGAATTTTCCATGTAAGAATATTGGAACATGTTGCCAGTCTTCCTCCAGGGGATCTTCTGGACCCAGGGATGGAACCTGCATCTCCTGCGTCTCCTGCATTGGCAGGCAGATTCTTTACCACTGTGCTAGCTGGGAAGCCCAGGTAGTGATGCACCCTTTCTAATTCCTTAATGGTGTAATTATGTTTGTGGACTTTTCAAAATACAAAAGTTTTAAAAATTCAAGTCTAATCTTAGTGGCTATTTTAATTCCTGTTACAATATTCCTGCCCTGTAGTCCTCAGCCAATACTTTTATATCCCTAGTGATGAGAACACATCACTCCTTTGGGTGACCCATTTCATAGACTCCAGGGCTGTGAAATGATTGGCACAGTCCTTCCAAGCTTGTGCATGGCTCAGGTGGAGTTGATTAGGGAGAACAAGGTATAAGGGAAAGAGGTACTGCTTAGATCAAGCAAGCAGGCTCCCTAAACTAAATAAGCTGAAGCAATGGGATTTTAGGGTTCTTGCTTCCATGTTTAAAGTGTCTGATCTAAGCAGAGTTCATTTTTCTTTCTTGAGAAACATAGAAACCAGACTTATTCCATAGTACAGCTTAGAAATAAAAGCAGGAAAGTGGTACCAATTATTGGACTATTTGATAAGATGGACCGGTTCTAATTAGCTATTTTCTGAATTGACTTGAGTTGATAGATGCCCATTAGAAGAACCTTTGGTTCCCTTCACCATAAAATTCAATGGCTAAGTTTTCTCACAGGCAGCTTCAGGAATAATAGTTGGAAAATTTCCTTAAGTTCTTGAATGCTAACTAACTTAAGTACTCCCAGATTGTATGCCAATAAGTGGAAGGTCAAAAGTAAGTGGAGAAGTGAAAAATCCTGACACCCAGGTGTGTGTGTGTGTGTGTGTGTGTGTGTGTGTGTGTGTGAAAGGGAAGAGCAGAAAAAAACAGTCACTTTTCTGGTTATTCCTCTGTTCTCAATAATTGAGGAGCGATTTGTCTTTGCTAGAGAGAGTCGCTTTTCTTAAGCAGCTTTATCAAAGTCAAAGTAACTTTCTGATGTAAATTTAGAGAGTTTCCTAGTTACTGGTGCCTTTAGTATCAATCTGATTTTGTGTTTCTGGAGGAGGAATAGCAAAATCACTGATACTTGAAGCAAATGAGGCAGGGCAGGAAAGCCTTCCTATATACATGACTATAGGATCTACTTTTAAGTTTTCTGAGCTGCTCACTCCCTGGTGCTGGTCAGGACTCACTTATCCACATGTGGTTGCTATTGCTTCTATGTGATTATGGAGTCTTGGCATCAGCGTCTTACAATCCTAAAGAGAGGGCACGTGGACAACTTAATGCTTTGTCTCTGATGGAAGAACTGAAAGTATGTTTACACATGAAGGACTCTGGGAAAGCTTAGAAGAAGCTATCAATTGCTTGAAGCTATTGGTATTGGTTATAGGCACGTGGGGTCACAAAGGACTAAACCTCATCAAATGGAGAGCATCACCTCTCATAATTCAGGTATGTGAAGAAATAAACAAGTTCCACTGATGATGTTGCTTCTATGAGAAAATGTGTTCTGAAGTTTAGCTAAATGATTGTAAACACACTTTTGGAACACAGCCCCACTGAGTTTAGTTTTTCATGAAACAAATGGAACTCATTAGATTTTATCTTTTTCAAACTTGCAGAGAAACTACAATTCCTAAATAACTGTGTTTCACAAATATACTGCTGTTGAAAATAATCCACGTTTCTTCCAAGTATGAAAAGAAAGTTCCTTTTGCTTTATATCTAACTGATGTAAAGTCAGAGAAGGCTCTGTGCTGTACTTGTCTTGAATAAATGTAAATCTTGTCACCGTTCAGTAATTATACAACTTCTAGATTTTTCTTTTAATCTTTTTTTGGCTGCACCACACAGCTTGCAGGGTCTTACTCACTTGTACGTGCATGCTGCTAAGTCACTTCAGTTGGGTCTGACTATTTGCAACCTTTTGGACTGTAGCCTGCCAGGCTCCTCAGTTCATGTGATTCTCCAGGCATCAATACTGGAGTGGGTTGTCATGCCCTCCTCCAAGGGATTTTCCCTACCCAGGGGTCAAACCCATGTCTCTTACATCTCCTGAACTGGCAGGCAGGTTCTTTACCACTCAGTTCAGTTCACTTGCTCAGTCCTGTTCAATTCTTTGCAACCCCATGGACTGCAGCACGCCAGGCTTCCCTGTTCATCACCAACTCCTGGAGCTTGCTCAAACTCATGTCCATCGCGTCGGTGATGCCATCCAACCATCCCATCCTCTGTCGTCCCCTTATCCTCCTGCCTTCAATCTTTCCCAGCATCAGGGGCTTTTCCAATGAGTTGGATCTTCACATCAGGTGGCCAAAGTATTGGAGCTTAGGCTTCAGCATCAGTCTGTCCAGTGAATATCCAGGACTGATTTTCTTTAGGAATGACTGGCTTGATCTCCTCGCTGTCTAAGGAAATCTCAAGAGTCTTCTCCAACACTACAGTTCGAAAGCATCACTTCTTCAGTGCTCAGCTTTCTTTATTGTCCTACTCTCACATTCATACATAACTACTGGAAAAATCATAGCTTTTACTAAATGGACCTTTGTTGGCAGAGTAATGTCTCTGCTTTTTAATATGCTGTCTAGGTTGGTCATAGCTTTTCTTTCAAGGAGCAAGTGTCTTTTAATTTCATGGCTGCAGTCACCATCTGCAGTGATTCTAAAGCCCAAGAAAATAAAAGTCTGTCACATTTCCATTGTTTCCCCATCTATTTGTCATGAAGTGATGGGACCAGATGCCATGATCTTCGTTTTTTGAATGTTGGGTTTCAAGCCAGCTTTTTCACTCTCCTCTTTCAGTTTCACCAAGAGGCTTTTTAAAAAGTTCCGCTTCGCTCTCTGCCATAAGGGTGGTGTCATCTGCATATTTGAGGTTATTGATATTTCTCCCAGCAATCTTGATTCTAGCTTGTGCTTCTTCCAGCCCAGCGTTTCTCATGATGTACTCTGCATATAAGTTAAATAAGCAGGGTGACAAAATACAGCCTTGACGTACTTCTTTCCCAATTCGGAACCAGTCCATTGTTCCATGTCTGGTTCTAACTATTGTTTCCTGACCTGCATACAGATTTCTCAAGAGGCAGGTCAGGTGGTCTGGTATTCCCATCCTTTTCAGAAGTTTCCACAGTTTGTCGTGATCCACACAGTCAAAGATTTCGGAGTAGTAAATAAAGCAGAAGTAGATGTTTTTCTGGAACTCTCTTGGTTTTTCTATGTTCCAACGGATGTTAGCAAGTTGATCTCTGGTTCCTCTGCCTTTTCTAAATACAGCTTGAACATTTGGAAGTTCTTGGTTCATGTACTGTTGAAACAAGCTTCACCATTTCTCAGGGAGCTTTATCACTTCCCAATGGCTTTCTCACTAGCTCCCTGGGAAGCCCCTTAGTTCCCTGACCAGGGATCAAATCCCAGTGCCAGACATGGAGTCCTAACCACTGAACTGCCAAGGAAATTGCAGATTTTTTGAAAGTAAAGAATTTAGAACAATTTTCTTCCTTGTGTAGCCAATTGTTGGGGTATTTCCCTGCTTCAGAAGGAAATCAATTTTTCCCTCCAGAATCAAAGGGGTGAGAGATAAAAAGGAAAACTACCCATTTCTCTTTGTTATTGGCACTGGTTACTCAGAATTTTAATTGGCTACAAAATGTCCCCTAAACTCCAGCATATGCATTTGTCTAAAGTAGAACTTATTTCGGCAAATATGTCTCTCAACTTGGAACGTTTTCATTAAAATATTGTTTAAATTAGTACCCTTATGTACATTTTATGTACATCTTTATCTTAAAAATATTAATATCTAAAAGGGGAGTAGTGCTTGATTTCACATCTTTAAAAATCAAAATTACAATGAACTCATAAATTGGTGAATTCACATATGTTAGTGATTCATTAAAGTAACGATTCATACATAGTATTCCCAGCTGGTTTACTTTCAAACATTGGACATTTCCAAATATGGCCACTAGATGGAGTAGAAGCAAAGAAATCTTTCAACCACCTGTTTGATTCCTTTTCCAATTGTGTGAGATGCAAACATTTCTGAATCTGTTACCAGAGCTCAGAAATCAAACATGTTCTGCACAGAGGATTTTCAAAAGGTGATAGTCGTATATTAGGATTTAAACTGAGTGAAGATCATCATTCTTGATTTAATTTCCCAGATCATGAAACATCAAAATGCTGACATGTTAAAATTTAAACTTTTTACCAAAAAAAAAAAAAGTTTGAGGCACCATGACCTTTTAAATTACAGTATACTAAACTACATGGAATATTTTTCTTAATTATGTCAATATTTATGGACAATTTTAGCCAGAATTCTCATAAGTTTTTCCTTTAAATCTGATAATACATTTTTTATATCATCTGCTTAAACCCTAGTTGTATGGCATAAATCATGCTGAGAAAAGTACAAAATATGAAGGAAAATACATAAAACTCATATAAGAGTTGTGGGAATAGCCTATATAATGCAAAATCCTTGAAGTTTATCACATACATGTTTCAGTAATTTTAGCTTTGCATAGAGGAAAGAAATGTGTCATAATCTATTTATAATTCAATTATCTCCTCAATCAGAAATTCTGTTTTTTCTACTGTGGCACATGCTCTTTGACTTAAAGACCAAAGATTCTGGCTATATGGTTTATAAGTGCTCAGTAGGCTGGTTTTCCAAAGGCATTAGTTTATTTAGGAATATGGTGGCTGATTTTAACTTTTGATTTTTAGTTTATGATGATGTGTTTAGAATCTCTTTCAAAGTGTGAACATGTAACACATATGTGTCTGTGCGAATATGTATATATCAATTTTCAAGTATAGGTTTACTTACCATCAGAATTATGTGAATATATATACACACACACATATGGTAATTTGAATAATGATGGGTATGATGACCAATGCTCGCTCTAAGCACACAGGACACCAGGGTACATGAAATCATTCTGTAGAGACAGGTGACTTATCCTAGTAGTGGGTGATTTAAGAACAGGTGTTTTTATGTCTCCATCAAATTACTTGAAAAAGAATCTGAAGACCTACATTCTGGTTCTAACACTAACTATATGATCCTTAATAAATATTCTTTAAATAACCCACATGTAAAATGGATAAGAAGATTTTTATTGATGATTCCATTTCTAACATTTTATGATGTATAAATTTACCGGGTCTCTGTTCACCTCTTGAATTATTCTCGCTCAGGAATATTTGAAATCCAGCAGCCCTTGGAAAATGACAAAATTGAGACTAATACTAGATAAATTTGCAAGAACAGACTTGCTTACAGTCACAGTCTTGGCATCCATCTCAGTGAATATGAATTCTCCTCCTTCAAAGTCATCATTCATATATAGGAGAGCACTGTAAGAAGAAAGGGAAACCATTTGTCCTCTTATATGCCTGCACAACATCACCGCAGAATCCTGGAAACTGGACATGAACCGACCAGCCAGAGTAGTAAGTTTCCTCTGAACTAGAGATGAAAATGATTGACCTTCCTAAACTTCAAGAGTTAAGATCAGATGTAGGGTCATATAAAGTGAAAGTGAAAGTCGCTCAGTCATGTCCAACTCTTTGCGACCCCACTCCATGGAATTCTCCAGGCCAGAATCCTGGAGTGGGTAGTAGCCTTTCCCTTCTCCAGGGGATCTTCCCAACCCAGCGATCCAACCCAAGTCTCCCGCATTGCAGACGGATTCTTTACCAGCTGAGCTACAAGGGAAGCCCAGGATCATATAGGAAGTATTTATTTATTCCACTTACGTTAAAATTTTAATCATATTTCAAACCTTATCTCACATTTCACTTTCCAAAATAAAACCTAACTAGGTTTAATCTTGAAGAAGGAAATGGCACCCCACTCCAGCGTTCTTGCCTGGAGAATCCCAGGGACAGGGGAGCCTGGTGGGCTGCCGTCTGTGGGGTCGCACAGAGTCGGACAGGGCTGAAGTGACTTGGCAGCAGCAGCAGCAGGTTTAATCTAGCTCTTCGATGTTTCCCAGAGAATCTAAAACTCTCTTCTTTTCTTTTATACTAGTAACTCTGAAGGACGCAGTTTTTCCTTAAGCAGCTGGAGAGTTCCAAGGGGAGTAGCCTAGCCTTGCAGGTAGGGGGCACTCAATAAACGCTTTTGTATAGAGCACAGTGTAGTAATGAACACATTATATACATGGTGACTACAACTCTTGACTCTTTCCTTTACACAGTAAAATATAATTCAATAAGAGAATACATGTTTTTCTCCTGAGTTTCCAGTTTCTTATTTACAAAACGCAGACATAGGTAAATTATGTGATGACATCCCTCTGCATGTTGAGATGCATCCCCTCTGTTCTCAGACTGAGATGCATATAACACAAGGATATATTTAACTGAAAGCCAAGTGAGGAAAAAAAAAAAAACCACAAAGTTAACTTTTTGTGTGAAAACAAAATGGATGTTCTGTGAGATAGGATGCAACAAAATGAGCAGGGATTTTTAACATAAAAATATGACATGCTGAAGGCACTTCTGGGTTGTGGCAACTGCTTAAGAAAATTATCTGAGCGTCTCTGCTTCGAGATGAGTGGGATGACAGCAAAACAGATCAGCTTTCTAATTTCCATGGGGTTTTGATAACTGTTGGGCAAAAGTTTTATTTTGAAGCAGGTGCTGCTGGTACCTATAGTCCCGGAATGTGTAAGCAGGAGGCTCCTTCCAGCATTCATTGGCCTCCGGATCCAACAGGCAGTTGTCAGCATGGATGGGATGACTGAGGTCATTTCTTCTATCCTGTTGACCTGCCAGAAAAGGGAACAGGGAAGCATGAAAGATGGCACGCCATAACTTGCAAAGAGCAAAGCTGACAATCTAGCTGTCTTTTCCTATGGATGATGCCTCTTGCAAATTTGAGGAGTCAGAAGCCAGGCAGAGCAGACTAAAGAACACTGGGCAAGCACAGTCAAGTGGCTCTGATCCTGTTTTGATGCGAACTCGTTGTAAAAATCTGTAGGCAATCTGCACCTGTCTTCTTCAGCTATAAAAGCTCTCTGATATAAATATACATGCGGAAATTCCATGCATTTCATGTGCTGTGCTTGTGTGCAGCAGGAAAAGGTTGAGGATAACATGCCAATGTCGAAAAGAAAAGAGTTGATGCAGCTGAGAATTCACAAGTGGAAAGTCTACTTCTGTGACATTCTTTGCCCCTTCCTCCTTAGGAGGGTGTTGAAGAGAAGATGTGGAGAAGAAATAGGGATGCCAGTGAGTGAGGAGGTCTCTGTCTTTTTAAAGAACATTTCTTTTAATGTCTCCTTTATCTTCCAAGCACTTCCCTTCAATGCTTGTGGACAGAGTGGTGACTGTAATTTCCAGGTTCTTAAACCCTTAAAAGGGAAACCTAGAGCAGAAAAGTTTTTTTTTTTTTTTAATGTGATTGAAACAACCAGAAGCAATGGATTTGGAAAGGAACACTGCAGAGTGATGACCTTCTAATAGTTTAGGGCCGAGCAAAGTAGAAAAGAGAGAAGGGAAAAGTCAGAATGAGTATGCTTCTTTTGTTTTAAAAATGTAGAACTCTTCTACATCAAGTCTGACACATTCCTAGACCTTTGTTCCACATTGTTTTCTTTCTCATTTCACAGAGTAAAACGGAACAAGTTCAGACTGAAATCTCACCCGACAGGGCTGTGCGGCAGACCATGTGCGTGTAGGAAAAATACAAGGTTGAGTTCAGCATGAAATAGGATTCTACAATCTTTCGAGCCTTCTCGCTGATGTCATAAAACAGACGGGCGCTCTTCAGGGGGACTCGGCCTTCATAACCAAACTGAAGAAAAGGAAGAATGTTAGAAACCACTGGGCTGATTGGAGGGCTCGAGGAAATCAGACGCCAATTAACGAGGAAATCATTAAGCCAAGATAGGATGCTCAGCTCTCTGCTGGCTTGTGGGAATACTACTACAGACTTGTGGGTTTGGGTTAGGAAAACGAGCCCTTGAAAGAAGCCTAATCACAGAGGGGAAGTTAAAAGCTAATCACCCTCTTTTGCCTCAGAGCGCTTCCCTCACTCCTTTCCAAAAACATTTCTAGCAGTACAGATGATAACTTGAATATGTTTTCACCATTGTACCTTGAGCTCCTTGAGAACAAGAGTGTTGCATATTATTTGCCAGATGCAAACTTAGGAAATAACAGAGTTTGGTAAGTTGATAACTGAATGGATTGATAAATGACTGATTAGAAACAATGAAGGTGTCATTTCATACTTGCTCTCTTCGACGACCTGATAAGTCTATTTTCTAAACCCTTCCCTTCCCTGAATTTGGCATTCCTAGAAGATCTTGGATTAACACTTAGGAATTTAAATCCAAAAGAGTTTAAGACTTTACTTTGAGTGCTTTCAGGACAGTTGCACCTTCGAACTTTTCATTGGGTGTATGGGGTGAAGTTTTTCCTCTGTATCCATCACCAACAAGCATGATCCCCTGGAAGCAAAATACAAGATGCTCTATTAATGATGATTAATGGATTATGGATTCATCACAACCCCCTTTCTGCCTTGACTGCCAGAAAACTAAGAACCAAAGTCAATAGTCAGAACCATCCCCATTTTATTCCAGGATTCCGGTATCAGTAATTCTTCCAATCAAAAGAGGGATCTTTACTTAACTTTCACCCCACATTTGCATTATAAAATGCCACCACCACATGCTGTAGAAATAGCTAGAATGTAAATAATTAATATATTGACTGTGCTGTGGTGTGCTAAGTCATTTCATTTATGTCTGACTCTGTGTGACCCTATGGACTGGCTCCTCTGTCCATGGGATTCTTCAGGCAAGAATACTGAAGTGGGCTGCCATGCCCTCTTCCAGGGGATCTTCCCAACCCAGGGATGAAGCCATCCTCTCTTATATCTCTTGCATTGAAACGCAGGTTCTTTACCACTAACGCCACTTGGGAAACCCAATATATTGATTAATTTCTGTCAAATATAAAGAGATTTCCCTGGTGACTTCATATGATAGCAGGACACATGCTGGATACTGAAGTCCTAGGAATTAAGCCTCTAGCTCTTCCAGACCCAACAGCCATGTCCAGATCTGGACAAAACTATAATGACCCAATCCAAAGGCTCTGAAAGTGCCTCCACAATCAATGTCCTTCTCCTACAGACAGTGGTATTTCAGGCCTGGTTCCCTGGCTTCAAGTAAGCCCAGGACCAAAGCACTTCCAGGCTGAGGCCAGGCCAGCTCAGCGTCAGGCTTCCAGTCCTCACACTGGCCACGCTGTGCAGCTCCCGGCATTGCTCCTCCGACAGGACGTTATCCAGGAGGACGCGCTGAGTCCCGTTCAGCTGCTCCGAGTTGTAGACAAACGTGATGTTCTCATAGAGCAGAGGGCCACCTGCAGAGACAAACACATGGCCATCCTTGTGATCTCTGTCCCTAAGCCGGGAAGGCTGGAACACCCAGCAGCTTTCAACGTGTAGCTCAGGAGAGTCGGCTTCCTCACTGATGTTGAGGAATGCAAGGACACAACCACACACTGGGAAGCTCAAGAAGCTCCATATAGATTCAAGAAAAAGGCAGATGTCTGGCTAGCAGGTTTCTCCATCATGTCATAATTAATACGTATTATATTTGTATAGGAATTTCTATTTTTTCACTTGATTCCAGGGAAGAGTCTGCAAAACAGAATGGGCATCTTATGGGATTTGGCTCAGAAAATCATAGAATTTTCCAGAATTCTCAGCAGTTGGCCCCTCCCTTCTCCACAGCCTCTCGGTTCCTACTTCAGCTACAACATCTCATGCAATTACCGGGTGACACAACCTCAAGATAGGTGAAGACCTTTAAAAAAGACAGCAGGACAACCAAACACTTGAGAAAAAAGAAAGAAAAGCATTTACTTGATGACATATTTGTGCTGTCAGTTTCACACGTATCTAGAGCAGTGCCTTCACCAGATAAGTCAGGGAATAAATGCACATCAGGAGAGTCACAATCAAGTCACCTGATTCCTTCTCAGTCTTCTTTCCACCACCTATTGATTCCAGATGGTCTGGCTTTTGGAATACTTATTTTTATGCACACACACACACACACACACAGAGTTTATAAATCTAGCCCCACACATAGACTCTTTAAAATGTGGTGCTTTGGGGCTACGTTTTATGTGGTAAAATTACAAAATCTAGATATGACATGGTCCTTTCCTTACAGAGAATAAGACTGAAGGACAAAGCCTCTGATGGTGAAGAAATCTTCCACTGTAGCAAAGTACAACCATCTTGAACAAACTGAACAGAAAAGCGGAACTTGTTTTTCTCTTTATAATATTCCTGTAGGACCTGATGTCTGTCAACAGTAGCAGCTTACCGTGGAGGACACGGGGGTGGGTGGGGCTCCCACAGTTGTTTCAAACAAGAAAGAGACAATTGAAATTGATGTCTACCCTCTGGCTTTAAATTAGATTAGTCAAACTAGAGAACAACACTGAATGTTACTAGTCCATTGGTATCATTACAGCCCATGATTAATGGAATATTAAAATAATGATTCAGTGTTTCTCAATCTTCAGTAATGTATGGTTATCTCTGCTGGCAAATTATTTGCACTGCGATTTTACTTTCACATTTACAATCATAAAAATATGAGTACAGTATTAATTTTTATAGCTTCATATAGCTATCATATCGAAACCAATTTACAAGATGGGATAAAAGCAGGACCATAAAACGAGCTAAATTCAAATTGACAGTGTTAATAAAATGGCTAATGTTGTTTTGTGGAAACTAAAAGGCAATGTTCCACATGAATGTTCTACTGAGCAATCTGGCCCAGGCTCTTCTAAGCCAGCCTTCCTCGGAGTGCTTTTGGTATGTGATGACTCACTCCACTACAGGTTTTCTCTGTTGAAACTACTATGGAATCTTACTGGACCATGATGAATTTTGGCCTTCATCTGGTCCTAATACATTATTCATAAGTTTGTCCTACTTCATTTCTTATTAGTCTTTGACCACTGAAGTGTTATTAACAGATGCCAATGTGACGGTAACTGAATCCATACCCACTGAGGTATGAAATCTCATGGCATCCTTGGATAGAAGTGGTTATTCAGATGACCCACTAGTTGCCCCTGTTAATTTTTCTAACTGACCAGCAAAATTTATAAATATAGAATTTCTTGGGATCCAGGAAAATATCAATATACCCACAAGCTCCCAGTTTTAGTAACGATCTTTTGGATAAATAGAAAATATACATATAAACTCGATATCTCAAATTCAATATTTCTCAAACTTTATACTAGAGAGAACTTTTTAATGAAAAAAGGGTTTCTTGATCAAATATGTTTGGGAAGTAGTGGGTTAAACAAAATTTAAGAGGATATCTTAGAACTTTTAATATGTGAACAGCCATTATAAATATCCTAAGCATCAATAGAACATGCAGCAGTTCTCACCTTAAAATAAGCATAATGTCCACCCTTCCTCCCCTCCTTCGTCTCTTCCTCTTTTCTTCCTACCTCCCTTCCTCCTTCCCTTCCTCCCTCCCCCTCTTCCTTCCTATGGCAAAGAGACTCTAGGTTGGCCCCTAAATATCACTGCCTACTGGTACTCATAGATTTGTGTACTTCACTTCTCTTAAGTGTAGGTGGGGCCTGGAGTTTGCTTCTAACTAATAGAATATGGCAAATGTGATGGGCTATCACTTCTTTGATTGGTTACATAAAATTGCAACTCCTATCTTCTGGTTGACTTAACGTGTCACCTTCTCAGCGTACACTCTGATGAAATAAGTGGCTGTATCGGACAGGCTCACATGGCAAGGAATTGAAGGCATCCTTCAGCCAACAGTCTGCCAGAAACTGAGAACCACAGTCCAATAGCCTTTAGGAACCAAATTCTGCTATTAAACTTGGAAGAAGATAGTTCTTCAGCTTTAGAAGAGATGTCAGTCCTGATCAACACTTGATGAAGCCATGTGACAGATCCTGAAGAATGGACCCAGCTAAGCTAACCCCAGAGTCCTGTCATAGACCTAGACAGAAAATGTATGCTATTATAAGCTGCTATCTTAATGCTCAGAGAAGGGCATGGCAACCCTCTCCAGTATTCTTGCCTGGAGAATCCCATGGACAGAGGAGCCTGGAGGGCTACAGTCCATGGGGTTCCAAAAAGTTGGACACAACTGAAATGACTTAGCATGCATGCACATACCTGTGTGCAATTTTTTTTTCTCACAGATTGGAATGGACTTCTTAACAAAAAACACAGTTCATTTGAGAAAGGTTGCACTAATCCATATAGTTAAGATTTATAGGCAGTTCCTCAAATATTCAAAAGCAAACTGCATATTCCATTTCCATTCAGAGATATAGAGAAAGATGTTCCTTCAACAAAATAAACAAGATACTTGTATATTCAATGGAAATAACTTTCTAGTATAAAATTCAAAGAGAAATGGAAGACAGATCAAGGGTTTAGTGGAACAGGTTGGTTTGTACTTTGCTGTTTTTCTCATTTTCTGTATTGAGAGTATATTACTTTAAATATATTTAGCTTATTTCAGAGCATGACTTCAAAAGTTACCTAATACTAAGACATTCAGAAAAATGCCTACCATGCGCTGTATAAGTATTGTCGATGATGATGATGATTGAATTGGTAAAAGCTGCCTGGTATATTGTGTTAAGCTCTGAATTAGATCTCTCTCTAAATAAGCACATGGCATAATGGGGTATTTTTAAAAGCAGGCTTATAGTTCAAGCTATTTTGGGGGCAGGCATATAGAGGCAGATGTAGAGAATAGATGTGTGGACTTGGTGGGGGATGGGTGGGATGAACTGGAAGCCTGGGATTGACATATACACCCCACCATATGTAAAATAGAGAGGAAGCGGGAACTCACTGTTTAACACATGGAGCTCAACTCAGTGCTCTGTGATGACCTAGATGAGTGAGAGGAGGGGCGGGCAGGATGCCCAAGAGGAAGGGGGCATGTATATGTATACACACACGTATAGCTGATTCACTTCATTGCACAGCAGAAACTAACAGAACATTTTGCAGCAACTGTACACCAATAAATAAATTTTTAAAAGTCAGTTAAAAATAAAAAATAAAAGAGGGCTACTGAGATATTGCAAAATTTCCCCAACCATGCCATAAGTAACATAACAAAGATCAAGTTAAGAGATAAAGTGTAACACGGAGTCTAAAATACCTAAGTTCCAACAGGTTCAGGCAGAATCTATACTAGAAATCTGTCTTTCATGTAGCTATCACAATCACCACTAGGCACAGTTTCATATGGAGGCTTCCCACATATACATTTAACAAAAGATAATCAAAACCCTACCTACTAATCAAAAGGAAAAAAAATATAAAAGGAAAAATAAATCCTGCCATTCAAAAATGCACGTGGTAGAAAAAATTCTACCAGCCTATGAATGACTAGTAGCACACTAGACAGAGAAAAACATTAAAATAAAAATAAAAATGTAGTCCAATAAGTTGTGGTTCCTGGGATCTGATTTGATGGGTTCAGCCAACTCTTAACCACAGCCCAAGGAAAGTTAGTTGAACAACTTAATTCTTCTCTCATTCATAAAGTATGTGCCTGGCTCTGGCTCTCTCATTACAATAAAGAAGAATCATCTAAGAAAATGCTCCTTTGTGTTCACTGCCCATGACTTATGGCAAGAAGATCTATTTTACCATAATACAACAAGGTCATACAAGTAACAACAGGAGTGTGCTACCAAGCTCTTATATGAGCACAATCCCTCACAGTTTACAAAAGACTTCATGTTCATCCTCTCCAAAGAGTTGCTATTCTTCTGTTACAGGTGAGGATCACAAAGCTCAGACAGAATGAGTCTCCAGTTACCCATAACTCTAGAGAACATCAGACTAAGATAAGCTTCCTGATTCCAAGGTCAAAGTTATTTCTAATATATCCCCACTGACTCAGCGATTATTATCAAGCTGGGTTTTTGGAAAACCGGTGGTTGAAAAAAGAATGGATAAATGACAGGTGTTTTTAATAAGATGACATGCATATTCCATGGACTGGAGTCACTCTGGGATGCAGTAGCCCTGAGTCACTCCCATCTAAATGCCTGGGAGTCATCCAATATGAATACTACTAAATACTGTTAGATAACCAGAGTAGATGACAATATTTTTGTGGAAGATGAGAAAAGGTGAAATATATTCTACTCTGGAAGCATGCATTCTTTTGTGCTTCCCTGACACATGCTTTCAGCCAGACTGATGAAAATGTTTTCTGGTTGGGAACTTCACCGCTGTCTACCACTGTACTTAACTTAGACCTTATTTTGATCTCCAGTGATTGCACAGAAGGTTTTCGAGTAGGTTCCCAGAGAACATTCTAAGATCCTAAGATTACCTCATTCAACTGCAGAAATGATAGAATTTGATAACCCAGTCAATCATGACCTTGCTCCATCCTGTGTAGTCTTCTGCTCTACTCTTCCCACTAGCTTTCCTAGTCAGTTTCTGGACATCAGATCCCCTGGTAGCCAGGGGAAGGGGGGAGAAAATGCTCTGAAATTTGGTGACTGTCCTAAAGTTTCCCAAACTTTTACAGCACAGTGCCGGCTTACTGGCATGCACTTCCTGGGTGATTTCTCGCCTTAAAAAGTAGCATGAACTCTGGCTGACCATGAAGCTCCCTGGCACTTGTAAAACAGCCTGGGCTTCGTGGCCACAAACCGAGGTCCAGGTCAGATTAGATGAGCATATTATCCTGTTTACTGCCTCAAACTGACTTGGCAGCTGAGAAAGGAAAACGGCTGGGAAATGTGAGAGGTGCACAGAGCCAGATGTTTTCAAATCAGCTAGAGGAAATGTGCTGACAGCTCATTTGTTAGAGAAAGGAGGACTGTACTTCTCCATGCAGGTTTTTGAAAACTTCTTATCTTGCAATGATTTAATCAATGGGGGATACATTTTGGATATCTAGACATTTCTATGTTCCATCATCAGATGAAAAGGAGAAAACGAGATTTGGATTCAAAATCCTCCTCAAGCTAATACGAGCTCTGGGGCTTTGGATGGATCAGCAAGTCTCTGTGACCCTCAGTTTTCTTGCCTGTGAAGTGGGGGACATTTGTCTCATAGGAGATGCTGCCAGTGTTAAAATGAATTGTAAATAAATTTTCTGGGGAAATTGGGAAACATATAGAGGTAATAAAAATTATAAAGGATTGCTACTGTCGTTTGTACTACACTTGCCAATAATTTATGATAACAATAATGTTTAGCTCTATTTAAAAACTACTTTTGGCAATACTCCACTTATGTCTCCTCTCATTTTGAAGTTATGCAGGTAGACATCTAATATCCTGTTCTCTCCTTCTCAGTGCCTTTGTGGCATTTGTTGTATCCACTTGAATGGCTCCCTCCACACTTCTGTCAATCCAATCTAAATTCTACTGATTTATCAAAGCCCTGATCAGATATATGCCTTGAGGATCTTAGGTTAACTAATCCAATATCCCTGTGACCTGTCTCTTCAAGTTTCCCCCAGTACACAATCTATTCTATGAGTTTACCAATCATCTGCCATGTGAGAGAGGCAAGATAGGTGACCTCTGCAAGCCTGGAGTACTCAGCTAAAGACTGCATAATCATACAGTTCCTGCCTAACTCACAGGACTCCTGTGAGTGAATTTGGAAGCCCTTTTGTTGAAAACCAAAGGTAATAATATACACACCTGAGACATCCTTGCTACAACTTGCTTTCAGAATGTTATGAACTGGTGTAGTTTAGTCCGATCCTTCATTTTTCAGTGAAAAGGTGTTCTGCCCTGTTCTGCATAAGAACTGGCCTTGTCAACAATACTTACCCTCTCTTAGGTCTCGGACTATCTTGGGCAATGACTTTTTCCCCATCGACAATCCATGAACTTCTGCCCCCTCCACATTCACTCCTGAAGGGACCCTGCCATTCAAAAAAAAAAAAAATGTTGTTGCTGTTTGGCAAAAATCAACACAATTCTGTAAAGCAATTATCCTGTGATTAATAAATAAACTTAAAATTTAAAAAGTTGAAATAGCAATATCCTATTGAATAAAATTGTTCAAAGGCAAAGGATACCTTACCCAAGTAGTCTATAACTTCATACTGTATGTTTATATCATACATAAGTCCCCATCTTTCAAGATCAAATTAGATGTCATTGCTTTCATGAAGCTCTTCTCTATTTCCCCAATGAGTATGCTCTATCTCACTTCTCTAAATCTTTGCAACCTTTATATTCCTTGTATCCATAATGTAACTCCTTGATATTAGACTTTGAAAACCAACACAGTGGGAAAAAAATGACCATGTACATGTTTATAATGCTAGGAGCATTGTGTATATAATGCTCAATGTGTTCTATGTCTTGAACATAGAGTGCATCACTGAACAATGATCAAACTGACATAAATCATGTTTAAGTGTAGTGGGTCTTGAATTTTCCAAGAAAGAAGACACAATTTTGTGTCAAACTTTGTAAACACACTCATGATAGCATGTTGCCCTTTCAATATACACAAATTGAGCAAATCCAAATATGCATGTAGCATTCTTGGATACCTTGCAAAAATTTGAGGCTAACCGGGGGTTGAGCCTGGCGTGTTATAGTTCATGTGGTCGTAGAGAGTCAGACTCAACTTGGCGACTGAATAACAAGGGTTGAGCTCTTGACTCTTAGAGGAAGACCATAAGATTTTGAATAAGAAGATCTGGATCTTCCAGTCAGTCCATGGTGAGATGCTGAGTCCAAGTCCTTTGCCCTGTCAGGGCCTCAGTTTTTGATTTTGATAATAGTCTGGACTTCATGATCTTGTGGATTAAGAATGTGTGTGCTGCCTCTGACTCTCTGCAACTCCATGGACGATAGCCCACCGGGCTCCTTTGTCCATGAAATTTTCCAGGCAAGAATACTGGAGTGGGTTGCCATTTCCTTCTGTAGGGGATCTACTTGACTCAGAGGCTGAATCTGCCTCTCCTGTGTCTCCCGCATTGGCAGGCAGATTCTTTATCATCTGAGTCAGCAGGGAAGTCCTAAAAGAGCTGAGTGCAAATCAAAGGAATGATTTCAGTGAGCCCAGGCACTTCCATCTTCCCATACAAAGGAAAGTGCTAAATTAACTTGGTATGTTTTTCCTTAACAGTAGTCTTTTGAGGTTCTGACTACCTGGTTTTTGTAACAAAACTCCTATACATCCTGGTTCCACCCTTAGCTCTTTGAAGCAGTCCCTCACAGCAATCTTAGAGTTTGTATCCTGGGCTTGCAGTCTTCAGAAAATTTGCTGAATAACACCTAACTTTCAACTTTCAGACTGTATTTTTTTTTCTCTTCAGTTGACCAAATCAAACATATAACTATCAGTCCAACATTATACGAGTCCTTGAACTGCTTGGAATATGTAAATTTTTGACATCTGTCATTTTTTAAAATTGCACTTATTCATTTCTGATTGAGTTCATGACACTTAATATTTTAGCTTGCAGGAAAACTTTCCAAGCTTGATGCTTTCAAATAAATGCAGTAAGAAAATTCAGTATTGAAAAGATAATTTTGTTGCTTTGTTTCCTATTAATAAATCTAAAACAGCATCCAGCTTTCTTTGATTTAGAGTCATAGAATGTTTAGCTATCAGAGATTACCTGATTCAATCCATTCACATAAGGAAAAACAGGAGACCCAGTTTTGTTTTTTGTTTGTTTAGTCACAAGTCATATCCAACTCTTTTGCAACTGCATGGACTGTAGCCCACCAGATTCCTCTGTCCATGGGATTTCTCAGGCAAGAATACTGAAGTGGGTAGCCATTCCCTTCTCCAGGGAAGCTTCCCGACCCAGGGATCGAACCCAAATCTCCTGTATTAGCAAGCAGATTATTTACCACTGAGCCACCAGAAAAACCCAGAGACTCAGAGAGGAAGATACATTATTTAAGGTCCCTCAGAAATAAGAGGAAGAGCTGGGGACAGAATGCAGAATTCCTAATTCCCAGTTCAAAGCTCTTTCAATTATGTCCTGTTGCCTATTCCCTAGAGCCAAAGTTCCTTATGATAAATATAATTCTAAGTGTTCCATCTCTTTAAAAATAAACACTCTATATGGAGAACTTACCTATTCTCATCTTGTCTTCCTCCATAACGAATCCAATAATTCTGTTTTAAATTTAAAAAAAAATCAAGTTTGTAGTTTTGTCACTAATATTCCATATACAGAAATAAGATAAAATAAAACACTCAAAAGACCTAAAATATTAGAAAACTTGCATATTATATAAAGCTATAATATACTTATTTATTTTAAAAGTTTAGTGAAAGGGAAGGCTAAGGTTACGCAATTTTGGCAAAGACAGATGGATTTCTTAAAAAATAGTATGGAATTAGCTTAGGCATCCACCTTTTGGTTAAAGAAAGTTATTTAGAATTTGGTGGCAGGAAGACACTTATAAAATCATTAAGTACAACTCCTACCCTTTTATAAATAAAAGAAACAAAAAAGTTAAGTTTGGTTAATCATTTGTATAGCATCATAAAGTAGGTGATTTTTTTCCTAGGGTCATTTGGGATAACATAACTTTCACAAATAGCAAGTAAGACTGGAGATAAACATATTAGAAATGTATATTAAAATCATCTTAATTTTAAAAATGTGTCAATAAAAATATAAACAATAAAGAGATGAAAACATATTATATATAGGATATATTACAAATAGTGTTTTTTAAATAGTAAGTATTAACATGTAAATATATAAATTACTTATAAATAACCAACAGATGACTGAACAAAATACATGTCCAAGTAATTCAAATAAGAGGGAAAATAATCAATTATAATTTGTGAAAATTGATTTTTTCTGGTCATCAAAGGAACACAAATTAAAACAATAGTGATGCACGATTTTGTACATAATATATTAGGAATGTGGATGATTTTAAGATGCTACTTCTCATTGCTGAGATGTTCAGGGTAAACTTTATGTATTGCTAAGAATAATAAAGGTAGCAGAAAACTTTATTAGAAAAACAATCTCAAAACTTTAAACCTTCTCAGATCTTTTGTTGGCAGAGTTATTCCACTTCTGGGAATTTATTCTATGGCTATATAGTTCAATAGAACAAAAATACTTAATGTCCTCATTCTGACAGGAAAAAAAGGCAAACCAAATGTTTAGCAGCAGGAAAATCATTAATTTATGTATTTTACATCAATCATTGTTGTTGTTTAGTTGCTCAGTTGTGTCTGACTCTGCAACTTCATGGACTGTAGCCCATCAGGCTACCCTGTCCATGGAATTTCCAGGCAAGAATATTGGAGTGGGCTCCCATTACCTCTCTAGGGATGATGTTCCTGACCCAGGGATCGAACTCGTGCCTCCTGCCTTAGTAGGCAGATTCTTTACCACAGAGCCTCTAGGGAAGCCCAATACCAACAACAGGTGTAGCTAAAAATAATTTTGAAAGGTGTAATGATATAGACATTGCTTATGCTGTCTTAAAGATCAGAACAGAAATCTGTCTGCACTATAGCATTAGTTCTACAAAAGGAATATATTCCTATGATTAATATTTAAAATGAAACATGGACAAGTGGAGAAAGACCAGCAGGATGGTAGTACAATTGTGTTTGATTTTGTTCTTTCAAAGTCTTTTTAATTTTTACAATGTTTAAGAGAAAATACAAAATGTACAGTAGTTAGGAAATAAAACAATCCTGAGGCAAACACATCATGTATAAAACACTTCTTTCCCATGCAAATATATTTGCTTTGACTTTAGTGCTCAGTGATATGGAAATCTATTAACATTTGTTAAAGTTCATCACATATACAGAGTAAACACCCCCTGCCACCAGTTTTTGTTTATGCAAAGTTGGGGGTTAGAATCATCAACAAATGCATCTGGGGAATAAAATTATAAGTAAGAAGCACTCTGAATAGTTCTTTTAAATAACTTTTTCTCTCTACTCTTTGCTCTTACTGGTTCAGTGTATGAAAATCCCAGACCCTCTGCAGCTGATTTTATTAGCTCTGATTCCAGCTTATGCCGCTTCACATACATCGCCAAATCCTATAGAAAAAAGGAAAGAAAACATATATTCAAATAACAGTTAAAGGTTAAATGTATGTTTAAATAACAGTTAATGTATGATTAATGTTCAAAGCAGAGACATTACTTTGCCAACAAAGGTCCGTCTAGTCAAGGCTATGGTTTTTCCAGTAATCATGTATGGATGAGAGAGTTGGACTATAAAAAAAGCTGAGGGCCAAAGAATTGATGCTTTTGAACTGTGGTGTTGGAGAAGACTCTTGAGAGTCCCTTGGACTGCAAGGAGATCCAACCAGTCAATCCTAAAGGAAACCAGTCCTAAATATTCATTGGAAGGATTGGAAGGACTGATGTTAAAGCTGGAACTCCAATACTTTGGCCAGCTGATGTGAAGAGCTGACTCATTTGAAAAGACCCTGATGCTGGGAAAGATTGAAGGTGGGAGAAGAAGGGGACGATAGAGGATGAGATGGTTGGATGGCATCGCCAACTCAATGGACATGACCAACTCTGGAAGTTGGTGATGGACAGGGAGGCCTACCGTGCTGCAGTCTATGGGGTCACAAAGAGTCAGACATGACTGAGCAACTGAACTGAACTGAATGTTCAAGTGGAAATTTTTTCTTTAGACAGTAAGAAATCAGCTAAAAAATATTCACAGCTTCAGAAAGTGTCTCTATTTCCAAAGATTACAGCCCCTATGGAGAACAGTATGGAGATTGCTTAAAAAACTGGAAATAGAACTGCCATATGACCCAGCAATACCACTCCTGGGCATACACACCGAGGAAACCAGATCTGAAAGAAATACGTGCACCCCAATGTGCATCGCAGCACTGTTTATAATAGCCAGGACATGGAAGCAACCTAGATGCCCATCAGCAGACGAATGGATAAGGAAGTTGTGGCACATATACACTATGGAATATTACTCAGCCATTAAAAAGAATTCATTTGAATCAGTTCTAATGAGATGGATGAAACTGGAGCCCATTATACAGAGTGAAGTAAGCCAGAAAGATAAAGACCATTACAGTATACTAACACATATATATGGAATTTAGAAAGATGGTAACGATAACCCTATATGCAAAACAGAAAAAGAGACACAGATGTATAGAACAGACTTTTGGACTCTGTGGGAGAAGGCGAGGGTGGGATGTTTCGAGAGAACAACATCGAAACATGTATATTATCTATGGTGAAACAGATCACCAGCTGAGGTTGGGTGCATGAGACAAGTGCTCGGGCCTGGTGCACTAGGAAGACCCAGAGGGATCGGGTAGAGAGGGAGGTGGGAGGGGGGACCGGGATGGGGAATACATGTAAATCCATGGCTGATTCAGGTCAATGTATGACAAAAACCACTACAATATTGTAAAGTAATTAGCCTCCAACTAATAAAAATAAATGAAAAAAAAATAAATAAACAGAGGGAAAAAAAAGATTTGACAAGCTAGTATGTATGTGAAATACATGCTTTTATGACTAATATTTAAAGTTAGAAAGAATTGAATCCTAGAACCTTTACTCAATTGTTAGCTATCTTTAAGAGAAGTGTTCTGTTTTTGCCAGCTCTCACCAGAGCACCCAGCAGGATTACGAGTTTCTTCTCAGACATGGGTCTCACCTCTCTGGCCTCGACAGATGCTGGGTCAAAGTTGTCATCCAGTAGACTCTCATAATAATCCACATTGTCAAGGACATCCTCATCATCTGGATGCAGTAGAAGATAGGCCTTGGCACACTCCAAGGCTTTTACATATTCGCCGACTGAAAAACCCAGGGGTTGGGGCATTAGAGTCAGCCTAGACTTTTATACAAAATTTTTAAGAGATATGTCAACATGTCTATGAGAGTCAGCATTAAATGATCAAAAGAGGGAAGGTGCTACCTACTGTATAGCACAGGGAATTCTACCCAACACTGTGTAATAACCCATATGGGAAAATACTCTGAAAAAGAACAGGTATATGTATATGCATAACTGAAACACTTTGCCGTACACCTGAAACTAACACAACATTGTAATTAACTGTACTCCAAGATCAAATAAAACTTAAAAGAGGGAAGATACTGTGAAGTTGCAAAAACAGTGCAGATAAGAGGAAGGATGGGATTTCAGATATTCCAAAAGTACTAATTTTGGTCTGCTAAGCTGCTTGATGTCTTCAACAAATTATCAAAAGCCTACACCCGAAAATGTTTGTTGGCAAGTTATATTATTTAATCCTGAGCAGAAATTTTGGAGTTAATTCTGATTTCTGTACTGAATTTGAAAACATGATATCTAAGACCAACTTTAGCAATCCAAATTCTAGCAATTGCTTTTAAACATAAGGTACTCATTCCTTCTATATTTCTCAATAGGACAAATGGAAATTAAAACTTTATGGAGATATCAGTTTTCACCTAATATAAGATTTGGGAATATCTAAAAATTTGATAATATATTTTGTTGCTGAGCAATGAAAAAGGCACTCCATGTGGAGGAAAAATTGGCAACATCTGTCAAAGTTACAAATGAATAAACAGTTTGATGCATCAACTGTAATTTTGGAAATTTATCCTATAGATGTTTATGTGCAAATGTAAATGATATACATAAAATATTTATTTGATCACTGATTGTAAGAGTAAAATATTACAAACAAAATAATGCTCATCAGTAAGGAGACACATTAAATAAATTATACTATGATGATAACCAGATATAAATATGAAAAAATTTATAATGAAGATCTTTATGTATTGAAGTTACTAGATTGAACCAAATAAAACTGTCAAAACTTGACCATTTTTCATCAAGCAAAAGGGGATTTCATAAATCTAAACTACCAAAAAAAAATCTGATATGTATTAGTAAGTGAAGTAAACAATGTAGGGATAAGTATAAATAATGCATTATCTTGTATTTGTAAGTGGAAAACATAAGTCAGAGACTGTGCTTATGTGTATGTGTATGTGTGCTGTTTCTGTATAAAATTTTGGAAGAGTAAATAAGAAACTGTGGATTGTAGGACATGAAATTAGGTTGTGGGGAAAATAAATAGAGTAGCTTTTAAATATTTAGTCTTTTAAGCCTGAGAGTATATTATTTTTAAAATTAAATTTTAAAATCACATAAAATATCAATGTAGTATAACTTTCAGGGCATTGTCACAATATTTGTGCACTTGTAGTTTCACCTTCTGCTCTTGTTCTGAGCTGCAGCGACATGAGGTGAGAGAGAAAATGCATCCACTCCCATCTCTTGATCACAACTGAAGAAGGCAGAGGACCAACTTACTGATAATTCAATGTCTGTTATGATAATCCACACCCCTCCCCTAAAGTTCTTCACAGATAATTCACGCTTTACCTCGATAGTAGGCAAACTGTAGGTAGTCATAGTGCAGGGGAAGAAAGTTCTCGATTGGCGAGAGGCGGCCGGGGCGTGTGGCAAGTTCCCTCACACATTCATGCTGACAAACCAGCACCTGCACATAGTGATCTGGAAAACAAAAGCCAGGATGTGGTCCCTCTCCACTGCTCAATGACCAGACTTCAGAGTGAGTGCCACGGTCACACACGGCACTCTAACCACACACTCTGAGAGCAATATCATTCTTCTTCTTCTCACTTATGACCAGAAGTTGTTTTCACAGCAAAAAGAAAGTAAGTGACTTGGCAAGGCTTCCTAACCAGTGATCACTAGACTAATTACTAGCAGACTCCAAATCTTCTGGCTCCCAGTCTTTCCTCCATACATCACTCTTTCTTTCTGTGATCCTTTACATGGCTTCTGAAATTGACTCAGGCCATCTCATCCCACCCACACCCAGCTGAGTAGTGACTTCCTTATTTAACAACATCAGGTCTCTCTTTGGACTTAGATGGTCTGAGGTGCCCTGGAGTTGTGATGGGAACCTCAGACCCCAGTTATGTTAAGGACCAGATGGTGAGATCATACAGAGAAGTGAAGCCATAATGCTCCTTTTTCTTGGTTAATATTTTTAAGCAACCTTTACTAAAGGAGAAATAGAAACAACACTCCTTTACGTCTATTGAGTAGGAACCTATTCTACTCAGTTACAAATTAGTCTATCACCTGGACTTTATAAATCCTAATACTGTTGGTGTTTTAGTAACGTAAGTTGTGTCTGACTCTATGCGACCCCATAGGCTGTGGCCCTCCAGAACCATCTGCCCATGGAATTTCCCAGGCAAGAGTACTGGAGTGGGTTGCCATTTCCTTCTTCAAGGAATTGTTCCAATCCAGGGATCGAACCCTTGTCTCCTGCTTGGCAGATGGGTTCTTTACTACTGAGCCACTTGGAAAGCCCCCTAATACTATAGAAATTGGTAAAATAGGAGAAGGATGAAAAGTAAAGAATTTGAAGGAGCACTCTGTCTCTTTTTCTCTGTTTCCCTTTCTTTGTCCCCATTCTTGTCACTTGCAAATGGGTGGGGATCCTGAAGTGTAGCAGTTTTCATGCTCCTTTTATTAACAGCTTTGGATTCTATCTCATCCAAGTAGGAGCTAAGGAAACACAAGAGGCTAATGTCCCAGAAAGAAAACCCTTCTTATACTTTGCCCTGACTCTGATTTTTACAATAAAGGAGGCAGTCTTTTCCATTAAGAAAACAGTCCATTCACGCTTGTGCAGAGCAAGTTCTCTTAATAATACTGATAAAACTTCCCTACTTTATTACTGTATATTCTAATTCACAACTGCCTCCTTTCAAAAGGCTCTCTATTAGGCAGAGTTTGGCTTATATCTGATGACCTTAAAGACGGAACCCAAAACAAAACAGAAAGGAAATACATGTTTTCTGGTGTGTAGGACAATATGCCAATTCTCTAAAACCTGGCTAATCAATCCAATATAGGACAGATAATAGCATCACTATTATCCTTTGGTTCTTAATTCCATTTGGAGGATGTGAGGAGAAGAATGGGTTCTGTTTATTTGATTAGTATGTTGGAAATAAATAGCTATTTTATTTCTTAAGAAAATAACAAACAACTCTCAAATGTTTCTCCTAGGTTTGCTGGCCATTTGCTTTCCTTTTTACCTTGTAATAAGCACTACTTACTAATTTCAAATGACAAGCAAAAGGAAAAGGTGGGAAATGCACACAACACAATCTGAATGAAAGTATTTTTCAAAGCAAAGTATAAAAAGCAGCAAAATTAGAGTGGCAAAATTATATCCTTTAGGGCTTTCAGTGAGCATGGCTAGCAATCAATAACTTCATTCAGAAGACATTTGTAGTTTTCTTCAATTTGCAACATTCTTCTAAATCTAAAATTAAAAATTCTGGCTTTCTAAATACATTCTGTAGTTTAAAAGGCAATTTTACTCCTAATTGAGAATAGTTTTGAATCTGATAGGAATTTACATAGAGTAATGATATCCCTTTTATTAGTTAGATTCCTCACCTCCATTCTGTATCAAATTTTATTGTGCAATTAGTATGTTTTAATATGTTTGAGACTCAAGATACTTGTATGGAAATACTTTTAAAGATTCCTATCTCATAATAAAGTGGATACGCTTCAAATTCCCAAGAAGACAACATACTTCTGTAACATATAATATTTGATTGAACTTAGGGACCATGATTTTTTTTATTGCTGTTCTTTATTGGAACCAGGGTGATGGTGGTGGTAGCTGTGTAAAGTATTAATAGCCTGAGTGAGGAGACTGTATTCTTTCCCAGCAACCAACAACTGTGGTGACCTCAGAAAATGACAAAATGTTAATCTGTAAAAATCTGTCAGTCATTTCTCTTAAACCAGATATAGGATATTTGCCAGGACTGTTCAGTGGCCATTGGTAGAGGTAGGTATAGAGACGAATGTGGGCATGAAAGCAGGGCACCTATCCTTAAAAAAACAGAAGATAGTAAACTTTAATAAAGGAAATCAGTAAACTAAATAATAAACTTTAATAAAGGAATCAGTGAACTAAAATGGACTGGCGTGGGTGAAGATGACCGTTATATCTACTACTGGGGGCAAGACTCCCTTAGAAGAAATGGAGTAGCCCTCATAGTCAACAAAAGAGTCTGAGATGCAGTTCTTGGATTCAGTCACAAAAATGACAGAATGATCTCGGTTCGTTTCCAAGGCAAATCATTCCGTATCATAGTAATCCAAGTCTATGCCCCAAACAGTAATGCTGAAGAAGCTGAAACTGAATGGTTCTATGAAGACCTTTTAGAACTAACATCCTTCTAGAACTAACAACGTCTTTTTCATTATAGGGGACTAGAATGCAAAACTAGGAAGTCAAGATATACCTGCAGTAACAAGCAAATTTGGCCTTGGGGTACAAAATGAAGCAGGTCCAGGCTTGACAGACTTTTGCCAAGAGAATGCAGTAATCATAGCAAACATCCTCTTCCAGCAACAAAAGAGAAGATTCTACACATGTACATCACCAGATGGTCAATTCTGAAATCAGATTGATTATATTCTTTGCAGCAAAAGATGGAGAAACTCTATAAAGTCAGCAAACACAAGACTTAGAGCTGACTGTGGCTCAGATCATGAACTCCTTATTGCCAAATTCAGACTTAAATTGAAGAAAGCAGAGAAAGTCACTAGACCATTCAGGTATGACCTAAATCAAATTCCTCATGATATAGAGTGGAAGTGACAAACAGAGTCAAAGGATTAGATGTGATAGACGGAGTGTCTGAAGAACTGTGGACAGACGTTCATGACACTGTATAGGAGGCAGTGATCAAGACCATCCCCAAGAAAAGGAAGTGCAAAAAGGCAAAATGGTTGTCTAAGGAGACCTTACAAATAGCTGTGAAAAAAGAGAAGCTAAAGGCAAAGGAGAAAAGGAAAGATATCTGCATTTGAATGAAGAGTTCCAAAGAATAGCAAGGAGAGATAAGAAAGCTTTCCTCAGTGATCAGTGCAAAGAAATAGAGGAAAACAAAAGAATGGGAAAGACTAGAGATCTGTTCATGAAAGTTAGAGATACCAAGGGATATTTCATGCAAAGATGGGCACAATAACAAATCTAACAGAAGCAGAAGATATTAAGAAGAGGTGGCAAGAATAGACAGAAGAACTATACAAAAAGATTTTCAGGACCCAGATATACAGGATAGTGTGATCAGATATCCTGGAATGCAAAGTCAAGTGGGCCTTAGGAAGCATCACTATGAACAAAGCTAGTAGAGGTGATGGAATTCCAGCTGAGCTATTTCAAATCCTGAAAGATGATGCTGTGAAAGTGCTGCATCAATATGCCAGCAAATTTGGAAAACTCAGCAGTGGCCACAGGACTGGAAAAGGTCAGTTTTCATTCCAATCCCTAAGAAAGGCAATGCCAAAGAATTTTCAAACTACCACACAATAGCACTCATCTCACACACCAGCGAAGTAATGCTCAAAATTCTCCAAGTCAGGCTTCAATAGTACATGAACTGTGAACTTCCAGATGTTCAAGCTGGATTTAAAAAAGGCAGAGGAATGAGAGATCAAATAGCCAACATCTGTTGGATCATAGAAAAAGCAAGAGAGTTCCAGAAAAAAATATCTACTTCTGCTTTATTGACTACCCCAAAGCCTTTGACTATGGAGATCACAACAAACTATGAAAAAGTCTTCAAGAGATGGGAATACCAGACCACCTGACCTGCCTCCTGAGAAATCTGTTTGCAGGTCAAGAAGCAACAGTTAGAACTGGACATGGAACAACAAACTGGTTCCAAATCAGGAAAGGAGTACGTCAAGGCTGTATATCGACCACCCTGCTTATTTAACTTATATACAGAGTACATCATGTGAAATGCTGGGCTAGATGAAGCACAAGCTGGAATCAAGATTGCTGGGAGAAATATCAATAACCTCAGATATGCAGATGACACCACCCTTATAGCAGAAAGTGAAGAAGAACTAAAGAGCCTCTTGATAAAAGTAAAGAAGACAGAGAAAAGGTTCGCTTAAAATTCAATATTCAGAAAACTAAGATCATGGCATCTGGTCTCATCACTTCATGGCAAATAGATGGGAAACAATGGAAACAGTGTAAGACCTTATTTTTTTGGACTCCAAAATCACTGCAGATGTGACTGCAGCCATGAAATTAAAATACCCTTGATCCTTAGAAGAAAAGCTATGACCATCCTAGACAGCATATTAAAAAGCAGAGACTTTGACAACAAAGTTCTGTCTAGTAAAAGCTATGGTTTTTCCAGTAGTCATGTATGGATGTGAGAATTGAACTATAAAGAAAGCTGAGCCCTGAAGAATTAATGCTTATGAACTTTGGTGTTACACAAGAGTCTTGAGAGTTCCATGGACTGCAAGGAGATCCAACCAGTCCATCCTAAAGGAAATCAGTCCTGAATATACATTGGAAGGACTGACATTGAAGCTGAAACTTCAATACTTTGGCCACCCGATGCGAAGAACTGACTCATTGGAAAAGACACTGATGCTGGGAAAAATTGAAGGTGGGAGGAGAAGGGGACGACAGAGGTTGA